GCTGTACAGTTTACACCGAGATAGTAAATTGACAATACAGTAGAAAAAACTAAATGTACTAAATATTAGTGGTTTCATTAGGCACTCAGGCGCTCACCTAGGCGCTTGGGCGAGGCGAGGCGAGGCCTGAGCGCCTCGCTTCATTTCCAGGTGGCGCGCTTCAAAGAGGCGTCGCCTGGGCGCTCGCCCGAGCCTAGGCGCTTGGCGCTTCGGGCGAGCGCCCGGGTTAAACTAGGCGATCGAACCAACGTTTTAGGTCTGGTTCGATCTCCGGTGCTTTAGTTGGTTCAATCAATCCAACTAAAGCACCGATATCAACCTTCCTCTTGCAACTTCCCACCCCTAACCCTGCTCGCCGCTCCTGCTCTCGCTGCCGCTGCTACCACTGCCACTGTCGCCGCTCCCACTGCTACCGCTACCACTATCGCTGCTCACTGCTCCCACTGCTCGCTTCTATCGCTGCTCGCTGCTCCCACTGCTCGCTTCTATCGCTACCACTATCGTCGCTCGCCACTCCCGCTCCCGCTGCTCACTGCTACCACTACCGCTGCCACTGTCATCGCTCGTTGCTCCCGCTGCTCTCAGTCAACAGCCTCGATCTTCCTCTTACTCACACTCTTCTCACTTCGTATACTATTAACAGTATACTACTAACAGTATTTTTATTTATTAGATTAATAATATATTATTTTGATTTGAATACTGTTAATTTTTTTATTTGAAATTATTGTTATTGTTTTGAATTTTAAGACTTTTTGTTAATGTGATATTATAATTTTACAATATTTTCTTAATTTAATATCATATTTTTATTTAAATAATTATATTTATTAATTATATTATATATTTTTATATTTTTAGTGCCTCACTTCACTCGGGCGAGCGCCTAGCGCCTCAAGTGTTTTTGGACCTTAATGCCTAGCGCTTTTTAAATCACTGCTAAGTATGAAAAATCAAATAAACACCAATGTAATAAATTGACCTTTTCCCATCTTCTGTACTATCTGAGATAGTTGCTTCCTCACATCCTTGCTAAACATCATGCTGCGGACCTGCAAAAGGTCCAAGTATTACTAAATGACATATTCACAGCAAGAAGCCAGGATGAAAATGTGACAGTACATTATTAACATAAACAGCATTAGAAAGAGATCAAGGGCAGAGCTCACTAAAAAATTGAACCTAAAAATTAAATATTGATCAGCTATGTTCATAAACCATTTGCAATTTTAGATAACTGATGAGGTATTATTTTCTAACAGGGAACTTACAGATCAACTTCCACAAAACCACATGAACTATGAAGCTGGAAAGTTGAGAAAAGATAGAACCTAAGGGAAGAAATAAATGATACACTTGATGACACTGGACTTTTTCCACCCATAACTAGATGAGTGACGAGAGAAAGCATAACCAATTATGTTGTAGAGGTGAGCTTTATTATTAGTTGGAAAGAAATGAATATTACAAGCAGATATAACAACATATGAAAATGAATAAAAAGAAGTCAAATACTATACAAATACTCACACATTTAAGCAATCTGAACGTTTGACAGAGCTATCACAGAAGCAGACATGGAAGCAAGGTAAAGGCCCAAGGGCACAAGCAATAGGTCTTAGATAACCGTGTCTGGCTACTTACCACCATTATACCAGCCTAATATGCGCACTCTGATAACTAAACAGAGTAGACAAAAGTTAAATTTCAAAAATGTGGAGAAGGAATACTAATATAAATAATAATTGGAGAAGAAACAAAGAAAAAAATCTGATATCCTAATCTTATTCCATAGCCTAAGTAAGAGTTGATCATCAGCTTTTCAGCAGTACTGAGCTTAGATATTGTTTACGGACAAAAAAAAAATATCACATGATAGACTTGATCGCAGTAAAAGAACAAAACTGAGACATATGGATTGAAGATCAACAAGACAGAAGCCGTTCCATGACTCTGTTCGCATCAAGACCTTACATGGCCAAACAACTGCATACTTGTTGGTTAGAATTAGTCACTGTTCATCCAAACGAAGAACCAAAACCAATTTATAACCTTTAATCCATATTGGACACAATGAACCCAATAGATACTGTGTCAAGAAGAAATAGATGAACTATCTTGAGTCACTCGACTTACAATCTGGGATCATAACTACAACACCAAAGCCACAATTGAGCTACTCCAGAATGTGGAACAAAATAGATGGCCTCTTCCATTAGAGAAATCCTGTTGATCGTTCATTAAGAATCAATCAGGTATGTGAAACCTTGAATTTATTATGTAGAAATTACTTCTCAAGCAGATACCAATGATCAGAATGTGACTAAACTGGTGATTCAACAGCATCATGAAAGCATTCCTAGTCCATCAAATGGCATCACAGAACTGGCACCAAAGCTAACATGAAAACATGCCATCATCATGGATGTTGGTTTCACATTGATATTACATGTGGACCTAGTAGAAGACTAGTTCAGGTAAGATAACTCTCCAAAATCTTCGATCTATGCATAACCATCAAGTACCATGAATTTTTGAAGTAACAAAAATTGTAATATACCTGCAAGTCATTGTCAGTGCACCAATTTGGATCATAGTCGGCTCGGTCCCAACTTTCATATACTTGAAGCAGTTGTATATGGTCACCCCACCCAGAACCATCTGGTAGTTTGGATTTGGAAAATGATTGTTTTCTCTTCTTCTCTTTGTTTTTACTGTGCATGTATTGTACGGTGCAAGATGCAACAAGTCATTCAACTCTTACACAAAGTTTATTTAGGCATGAAAAGTTATAGAATATCCATATATTTCAAATCCAAAACAATATCACCAAAGTAATATATAATTTCATTGTTTTGTCACAGAAAAAAAATGAATAACTGTACAGGAGAAACTTTTGTGGATGTTGAAAGAAAATAACTGATGATTGACAAGCATCTTTGGATTCATATTCTGCTAATTATATGCTTTTTTTTCTTTTTAATGTCATTCGTCACAAAGTGCATGAGTTAATGACACACAACACATTCCAGAAAATTCAACTTATGAATTATACAAAATAACAATGGAGGAAGTAATGGGAACAATGGAAGAGGAGGAGACAAGTACTAAGGACAGGCTGGGGGCGACAGACAACACAAGAGAATGGACTATGACATTTTAGGATTAAAAATGATAAAAATAGAACCGGATGATAGGCCCTGTACGGTATGTGGGCCATCAAAAATTGGATGGTCTGCATGCCAATTCATGCTTGGACTGGTAAATACTGGCCAGTACATGTCAATCCCGTATGAAATTGCATATCTTGGATGAATCACAACATGAGTAGGGTTCACCTGTGAGCAGGACGAATTGCAACTTCTGCTGATAGCATAGATGTGACTGTCAAAGCCTGAGACAAACATCCCAACTCATTTGCCTCAATTAAAGTCCTTGCAAGCGAGGGTTCCAATGGAAGCTCTACAACATAACCAAAAGGATGGCACTTAGTCTAGGGAAAGTGTCAGATGTGCATGATCCAGATAATTATCCCCATATAACCACACTCATGAAATGTTTCATGCAATAGAAGATTAAGAGTACATACATGGATTCCTAGCAAATTAAAACAACCCCAGTTTACTATAGCAAATCATTTAATTAACAGCATTTACTAGGTTTACATATAAGAGTGTTCGGACCGTTCCTTGATTAAGAGAAACTCAAAAAGTGATCTCCAGAAAATGATTACAATTGTCATTTAGAAAGACTGACTATTATAGAGAAAATGATTACTATCTGCCCATGGAAAGTGCAACTTGAAATATTGCAGGAAGCTTAAGCCCCAATAACAATATCCTAAATTAATCTGTAGCTGACCCCTACAGTTTTTTCTTTTCTTTGATATGTACAATGTAACCTAACATCAACATAATGCCTTTTCAGTTGTCATGATTCAGATAGTTTATGTCATAACATAAAATATTATACATGCATGGATATTTACTGCAGGCCAGTATACATTTCTTCAGATATTTACTGGTGCTTGGTAAATAGTTGTAATTATGTAGACTATTCAACTTTATGAGAAATGTAAAGCCTAATTTTTATACTTTTATTCTGTTAAAATTACATATCAACAAACCAAAGACAGTGATATTTTGACATTTTTCAGCTTTTAATAAAATTTTGAATGTTTCAAAGTTTTACAAAATTATAAAATTTTACATGGATCTCCAAATCCTTTGCTGAAAGCTTAAAATGTTAAGCTGCATGATCCTTTTATAAGTTTTATTTATGTTCAAACAACTTGTCACAGAAATTCCTATTACAAGCTGTGTCTTGATTTGGAGGCACTTCAAGCAGTCTCCATCAGTTCCTGATCATATATTTGGTTATATCAGTCTTTCTGGGAATATTTCTATGCTGCATATATATGCTCTGGAATATTTGAAAGGCATAAACCTTTTTTTTTTAATTTAGTGCACTTGAGAACATGGTGACTTTGTAGCATAAGTTTTATAGTACATCTTGTTGTTGTTTATTTTTAGAGCAATGCTTTCCAAATCATTTATACCTTACCCATCTACCTACCTGCCTTATGATTGGAGGCAAGGCCAATGTGCGACCTATATATCAGGTCATTGCTTACTATAATCACAGGTAAAGTGAGACAGTTAAGTGACAAATGGATACCAAAACTATCAATATCTATATCATCTATTTTTCTTTAAAGAATAAGATAAGCGTGTCCTTTTTTTGTGGAAATGCAGTTGCCAGTTCAATGGATTCGTAGAAAATTTGTATGCAATCATCTTATGTTTTGAAATAAACTGTTTTATCTAGAATCATCAAGCGAGCACCTTTTTTCATCCTAAACAAATGAAGGCCGAAAACATAGAAATCATCAGTGCATTCAGGCATGAATATTTTGTATTAAACTCTTACCAGCCATAGCTTTTCCAATCTCAGTTATCTGTCCATTTTCATCAATTGCATCAATGAGGTATAATTGCCTTAAAGCATCTTCTAGTGATTCACCTGCGGAAACAATAGGCAGCTTAATTTCTAAAATTAGGTTATTGAAAGAAGTCCATTTCAAAGAGAAACTTTCGTAGAGAATTTTATTGTCCTCCAACATCAACTAATTAATTTTGGTGAACAAACCATCAATATATCAACAATATAAGCACCTAAACGAATAAACAATCTCATACAAGATCAACAACAAAGAATGAAGTTCTTACGTGATGGTGGATCCAGAAAATCAAACTTCAAGATATCAATATCAGAAAGACTTAACGACTTCAGGTAAAGAACACTTCCAGCAAGAGATGATCGCTGAATTTCCGGTATTGTTGCATCAAGAAACTCCTCATCATAAACAGTTCTAGGATATAACCGGTAACACTTGCCAGGACGAGTCCTTCCGGCTCGCCCAGCTCGTTGATCAGCTTGAACTCTACAACAATTCACGCCAACAATTCAAATCAATGAGTCTTGTCTGACAGCCAATCTGATTATACCAAAAATGCTTAATGGTTCAATTTCAAAACATCATGTCCAAACACAAGAATAGTGAGTAACATCATTCCCACTCTCCAACCAACATGAGTAGCATTTTCTTTTTATTTCAAGCCATTTCTGTTACCATGGAAAGAAATTTATTGTTTTTTATTTTCCTATATGCACAAAAATAACAACAAATATCTACCATCTACAACAACCTACATGCACAATATAGCATCACTTATAGAACGAATGGACAAGAACGTGAATAGAGTACCAAGACAAAATATCTGGACACAACCAACCTACTTATCTGCACGATATCAAGAGAATACATTCCGGTCGAGGGGTTATATTGGCGCTGCTTCACAAAACCAGAATCAATGACATACCTAGCATGAGAAAATAATCAAAATATTATGCAGATCTTAACTTAAATCCAAAGCCATTAATTCAAGAGGAAATATAGTATATGCATAAAGGAACACATTATTCATTTAAAAGAAATTGGAGTAATATCTAAATTTGTTTTCAAGGAGATGTTTCTACCATTGGACTTTTCCAGTGGGAATGAGCGCAACATATCTAGTATGGCCACTAATTGGTTAAAAATCATAACATGAAATCTGCTACAGCTGATATATATACAAATTATTGATTATCTAATACAGCAGGCAGTGATGAGGATGTTGTTTGCTTTGATACTGATTGCTCATTAAGTTACCAAATTTACTAAGAATGTCAAACATGTCATAATTATGCAAATACAACTTAGACAAAACTCTAATTTTCACAAAAGATTTACCCATGAACATCATGCCACACACAAAGATTATTGAGATTTGAGATACTAGAGAAACACAAGAGAGTTCAACCAAGAAAAATGTACAATCTGATACATTGACAATAATCCAGTCCAACAAGCTGTCGTGAGAAATCCAATTAGTTTCAACAATTCTTTGTATAAATTTCTGAGACAAGCAACAAATTAAGACTACAAATTACGTTGGAGCATAGACGTAAAATATTTTCAGATAAGAAAATTGATTACAAAACTTCAAAAGAGTATCCTAGTAGAAACACACATAAGTTACATAACACAACCCACCAATGAAGATTATATTAAACTAAGGTCCATCTTTTGTCCGGAAAAAAAAAAAAGTAACCTCCATTTAAAACCGCTTTTCCACATTACAAGGAAAAATATTTTTGTCAATAATGGTTTTTTATAGTTTATACATCAATCGTCAACAACAATAGTGGTTCTTTCAACTCAAAGACATTATTCTCAATAACAAATTTCAAATAACATTTCTGGATATACATTTCTGTTGTGCCAGTGAAATCTTCTGTTATCAGTGACAACAAATGTCATGCACAATTTGACTAATCATACATGAAAGAGCAATTAATTCAAAAAAGAAACCAAATGCAAATGAAATCTAGCCACAAATAACTACATGGAATAGATCCTTACACGATACCATCAACAGTGAGAGAAGTTTCAGCTATGTTGGTAGCAACAATAAACCGTCTGCAGTTTGGTGGTGCTGGACTGAATACACGAATCTACGTTATGAAAAGCAAATGTGAGATATCAGCCATAATATTGATTTTAAGGTTCAATGATCTTAAGATATATCTACCAAGTTTAATATCTCACAGACAAGCAACAGAGTCAGAAAAGCATCTTCTTTTTTCTTACATGCCACTTTAACAGGTCATGTTACACAATGCAATTCAGAAGTTATTATGGTTTTCATATAAAAAGCAATCTAAAAAAAAAAAGAAATGCAATGCAGCTGAAGCATCACAAATATCAGCACATGTATACATAACGCAAATATTCTACATGCAAAATGCATGTCATCCTGTCCATAGAATTTATATGGCGTAACATATTCACTTAAGTGAACACAAACATCTGTTTCTTTTTCATCACTGAAGAACTGCAAGGCAAAATCTAGTGGTACCAAGTTATTTAATTATGCTGAAAAGAAGAAAAAGAAAAAAAAATGTAAGTGTAATAATTGTAATTGTACCGAGTTGTTTAATTTTAAGCATTACTACAAATTTTACTTTCACAATGCAGATTTTATAATATAATGGTGCAAGATTTTTTGGTGTTTAAAGATCAGTTGTAACTTGTAAGAAATAAAATCCATCAATTACTCCATAGTGATAGTGGTTATGCAATCAGTTCTAACAATACAGTACTAACTAAATCAAAGTAATGCTCTCTAGTGGGTCCATAAGAGTAGTATTTATCATTTGTACATTTGGAACTTGTTGCCTTTAGCTATCACATTGTAATGACTTCAGTTCACCACGTCTCAAATTACTGATGCTCAAGTACTAGGAAAAGGGTTCTAACACAAGGATAGATGTCAGTGCATTCTATAGGGTCAACTATTAACAACAAGAAATAAATGGGACATTACGAATAAATGTGAAACACCATTTTTAAAGAGAATATTGGTGTTTTGACTCATGTACTTGGACGTCATAAAAGCTACAAAAGATAGCCTTGACACCAACTACGCTGTATGGTTACAGAACAGCCAATGAGAAACAATATATATAAGAGGTTGGGCTGCTAGCCGTGCATCTACCAAATGCTGACTGGTACATATGCTCCATGTACTCTGTTGTGCTCAGCCTCTTATGTGCTAGGCACATGCTAGCCTTCATAGTTTGACATGGTTGTACATGAAAATTGGTGAGTCAATGTTCGCAATATGTTGGATTCAGAACATGAATACAAACCCAGTGTAAGGCTGTGGCAAACATGAAACGTACAAAAAAGAAGCAACTGCTGGTTATGACATGGCAAATCCAAAATGAATTGTGGATCTTAAAGTGGAGTGGCATTAATGGGAAAGGTGAAACATAATATAATTGTTTTCATGGTAAATTAGTGTTAGAATCAGTTGAAGGTGAGGAAAAAATTTTGAGAAGGTTTATATGGTAAATTAGAAAGAGAATCAGTTAAAAGTGAGGAAAAACAATTGAAAAGGTTTGAACATGTCACAAAGGACAATTAAGTGAATAGGTAAAAATAAAGTTGCCACAACAGATGAGAGAAAGAACAAGACTGTTTAGAGTTTGTGAAAAAGAACATAAACCTAAATACAGCAGAGAAGGATTTGTACAATCTAACTCGAGGAGTTGTGAAACATTAGCATACTTGCCACGGTAAAAACACTATTATTCTTTATAGTTTGAAAACTAAAAGGAAGCCAGACCCACTGTCTTATGTCAGTGGAATAAACAACCATGCCTTTTGATGAAATTGATCAAATCCCTGAACAAGCTTATAATACATGAAGAAAAAGGAAATTTATGTGCTACAGCAGGTTGAGCACATACAAAACAGATTTAGGCATAAATGTGTATCACAGTAAAATTTCAACTGAGGATATGCATGCTCAAATGAAACATGTACATGCATTTTAACTCATGACACCAACACCACAAACAGTTATGCAGCTGACCGTTTTTTTTTCAATTAAATTAATGTTCATGTCAGAAACTTAAAGTGACTTCCTAATATCTACCTTATATTTTTTCAGAAACTAAAAAGAAATGTAACTATAACTCTTACAGTTTAATTTATTTTAACTGCATATGGTTATAGCTTATAACTTATATCAATAAAGTGATGTGTACATGAAGTACACAAATCTAAAAATCAGTTTTATCAATGTGAGTCATTATTTAATCTTATAGAAAATTGAAGAAAAAACCACTTCCAGGCTAACCAAAATAAAGCACCAGACACTCCCACGTATCTAAAATTCAAAGACTGAATAATTCTGAACTATCATAAAGTTTTCGCATGCATAAGTCTGAATGTAGCACGAATAAAGGAACCATAGAAACTATAAAGTTTTGGCTTTCAGAGCTTTTTGTGTGGGTCAATCAGTTGTCGCTTTCCTCCCCAGAAGCATTCAAGTACTCGTCTAAGCTTCAGGTAAATATATCAAGCTCTCGAGCATCAGCCTTATTCATCTTCACGAAAGTACAAACTAGAAAGCAATATTCAAACTAAATTATCTCTTAGGCTCAGTTTTATATAATTGCAAATATAGATAATAATATTCATTTAATCCTAACAACAGGCCATCAAAGGATCCATTGATCTCACAAGTTTACACATCTATTATAAACACCTCAACTATCAAAACTAAAAAATTATAAGATTCCTTCATGCAATGTTTTTATAGTAAATAGAGTTGCTAAATGTAGACAACTGCATTTTATTGGATAGTGAGATTCAGGCCCATAAGAAAATCAACTGAATATGCTATAATTGCTCAAAGGTAATCAACAACCAACATGTTGGTGTAAACACACCCAGCAGAGTAAACAGTGAAAATGTAGGTAACTGATACTAAAGCAACAGTAATGGTACTTTGCTGCAAGACATGCAATTAAAAATCCATTATAAAAAATAGCTAGATCAACCAAAACTATGATCAAGTTAGATGATATTGCCTGCAATTCAGGTGGTAAAGAACCATGAAGTGGAAAGACTATAGCATCCATGCAAGAACCTTCCTCGAGGTTTTGAATCTTCTCCTCCAGCTTAAACACCATTTTATCAATGTCATCCTATATTAGTTAGAAATTTGTTTAGTTTATAAATATAATAACAAGAAAAGAAAGCAATAATTCCTGTCAATTTCACGAGGTAAAAGTATAATATTGCATGGCGATAACTCGGTTATCTGAAGATAAAATTAGCAGAGAGGTGTTATGCCAACAAAACCATCAAAATATGTAGAAAAACTCATAGGCAAAAGCTCACCTGTCCTGTCATAAAAATCAAGACATCTCCAGGCGGTTCACGGACATGTACATCTGTCAAGAGCAATATCGATGGTTGATATAAGATATAACAGCACAACCTACAAGATAACAAAAAATCTAATAGGCAAAACATGTCAACATACAAGCCTCTTACATGGAATTATCAAACAGGTTCCAGAGGCAAAATTAGTTGTCATCATATTCTTAGAAGTAAAATATTTGTTATTATTGAGTACTATAATTGCATAATTTATCAAATAAGTAATGGCAATATATACACTATATACCACAAAGAACTAGTTTTTCAGTTTTAAACTTTCCTACATTTATAAAAAATCATTGGCTTTTTGAGCCAACCTTACATGAAAAGTAGCATCATTCACAAAATTTACACATATTTGTACACTTAATGAAACAGAAAACTGAACAAAAATTAAGATTAGGCTAGATTACTGTGCCATGAGTTGTTTCCCACCCTTTTAAAAACTAAGTGATATACATATATCCAAAAAATATTAGATTTAAAAAAAATTCTATAGTTTATACCAAAATTGTTGCTGGTTCTTTTGAGAAAATCTTACATAAACAGTGGCATATATATATACATGTATATATATATATATACATGTATATATATATATATATATATATTTATATACATGTATATATATATATATATAACAAAATGTGTATATTTCCAATTCTCTCTCTTTGTTGTTTCCTTCTTTCTGTGAAATCATTTCCAATTCTGTGTATGTTCTGGAGTAAAATTATGAAATCCTACCAACTTGTAGACAGTCTATTACATTGAAACTGACAATTAAAGAAGTAGAATCAGCAATTCAAACTTCTAAGATGATACCTCTGCATATAATAAGGTTCACACGATATACTAGATGTACTGAGTGGTATAGGCCCTACACCAGGTTTACCACCTGGTTTATGTCAGCATACTGATAAGCTATTGGACCAGTATTCGAACTGACAATTCCCATGTTGAAAGGGGGCATTAAAGAAGCAGAATCAGCAATTCAAAGATGATACCTCTGCGTATAATAACAAGGTTCACAGGTCGTACTGGGTGTACCGAACGGAATAGGCCCTACACCGGCCTGGTTTACCTGATGTCTGCATACTGATAAGCTATTGGACAGTTATACTGAACTGTGTCGTATGGTACTGTAAACAATGGATAATAAAGCTACAGGATGGAAGTTTGATTTCATTGAACATTTTTGTATCACTAAGTACTGCTCATGCTAATTTCAAGAAGCTGTATACTATCTAGTATTTAGCCCATTCCGTAATAATCACTTCCTTCTTTCTGCCTCTCTTCATCCCAATCTTCATTGCAACCACAAGTTCTAAGGAAAAAATTACATTAGTATTGAATTCTCCATGTGCATTACATATAAATTTGATGATAGGACAAAAGCCATAACAGCAAATCAAGCAAATTCTCTAACTATGCTCGGTTACTGTCATTGTCAATATTCATCTCGCTCTATGACAACACTTGCAACCAATATCTGATTTTTTAATATAGTTACTTTCTTGAGCAAGTAGTCAGTAGTCACTATGGTTTTCTCATAAAATCTCATATGTTGCATCTATAGTGAACAACTAGGAAAGATAAGTATCGCTTCGATAGAGGATAAGATAAGAAAAAATCATTTAAAATTTTATAAGCATGTCCTTATGAGACCTCCAAATACAATAATCAGAAAAGGTGAAATAATTAACATTAGTGGTATGAGGAGAGGTAGAGGAAGGCTTAAAAAGACTTTAATTGAAACTATAAATAAATATTTAAGTATTCTAAACATAACTAAACATATAGCTTTTTTTATATATCTCAATGGCGTTAAATGATTCATGTAGCCGACCTCAAATAGTTGAGATTTAGGGCTTTGTTGTTGTTGTTGTTGCATCTATAGTGCTTCATAAAAAATATCAACCATTTCCCATGTCCTTGACCAAGTTTTGTTAAAACGATATCAGTGACATGGTCTTTTTGGTTTCTTTTTTTTTTTACAATAAGAATTGTATCACTTGCTATTTACTTTGCTATTGGAACGTGGAAGTATAATGACATATGATATAAAACAAAAACATACTAGCAACAAGAACATAAGAACCAAGCTTTATTCAGAAATCAACACCACCATGTAAAATTATGAATTTCATATATTTGAAAAGGTAATCAAAGAATATGGTGGGCATTTTATTCCTACCTAGAGCAGTCTTCAGACAGCATTCGACATAATTTGTGGGTCGTTCAGTGCTGTATAATTTTTCCACAGGGAATAATATCCCTGGGACGTTTAATACAGGGCATCCGGAGAAAAATCTAGATACTTTGACACCATCAAGGGTTGCAGAAGTGATGAGAACTTTCAAATTTGAGGAGCGTCTATTGATTAAGCGTTTCATTAAGCCCAGCAATATGTCACTGCCAAAATGAACACCATAATAAAAAACTAGAATTACAGAATGCATAAACAACAATAACGAAAGAGTAATAAATTACTAAGCAGAAAATAACAAACAATGAACAGTGGAATTCACATATTTAATGCATACATGAGACCCTGCTTGCACTTAATAAAGAAAATTTGCCCAGTGTCATAACATCCCATTGAAACTATCACTACACATGCCAGCACCAAGCCAACAAATGCAGGAATCAGAAAACCTAGCCAGCATAGAGGAAGCATCGCATGAAAATGTATAGAGTAATACCAGGTTGATGTCATGATACGGTAACTCAATTGCTAACATTAGAACACAAGAGCAGTTTTCTTTCCATTATTCATCAATGTGCATGTGTTCAAACAAAATGCAAAGCTTACGAATATAAATAAATGACTATTAACTCTTCAAGCAGCATAGGCCTTGATGAGGTGGGGGTGTTCTATTAGTCAACATATTGAACTGTTGGAATAACTAGAACTGAAAGACACCAAAACATTTTGTATTCATACAGCAGCTCAATTTCATATGAGATAGAGTGGATCTCTTATTGCTTAATTACTTCAAATTTAAGACAGATCAAAGATTCTTGAAAATCTTTATATACAGATCTTGTCCATGTTCCTAATCAAGACCCTTCTTCTATAACTAAACAAATTTAGAGTGCTAAGTTAACCTCCAACATAAGTTTGTTACTTAACATTAACACACACAATTTATTGCGAGAATAGAGGCTTTCAAAGCATCATCTTTAGATGCACATATGTGCCCCTAGATCATGAGGTCTATAGTCTAGTTTTCTTACATTTTCCTGTTTCCTCATACATCTAGGATAGACACTGATGACCCTGAAGAACAGTAAGTTTACACAAACTGTGGAGCATATATTGCTCACTACTTTTGGGGTTTTGCATAAAATTAGAGAAAACTATTTAAACATATGCTACGTATTAAGCAATTTAATTTCATTAAATGGAGTACAATGTACGAATATAAAACTACTTCCAACAAACACAGAAACCATAACCACTCCTTTCATCAGATGAAAAAGGAAAAAACATGCCCAAAATTCTAAATTCTAATACCTTGAACTTTGTGTAGTGCTAGTTAAGAAAAAGTCACTTATAAGACTGAACAAAACAAGTGTCATACGTGTTCAAACTGCGTTCATGAGCTTCATCCAAGATAATAACTGAGTACTGGTTAAGTTCTGGATTAGATAGGCTTTCTCGAAGAAGACAACCATCAGTTAGATACCTGAGCATTGTGTAAAATGGAAGTTATTGCAATATCCAAATTATACACCAGAACAGGTTTATCCAGATATAAATGCTTTCAGCAGAAGTCCAATCTTTTGCTTAGCCCACTTCTTCGCCAGATTGTACAAATAATTTCTTACTTAATGCAGGTTTTATCAGAAGTCCGATCTTCGAAACGAATTGCATAGCCCACTTCTTCACCAAGTCGAGAACCTAGTTCAAATGCAACCCTCCTGTGGAGGACAAAACAAACTTGTTAATCCTAAACTAAAGTTCACAGCAAAAAGCATGGATGTCAGTAATATCAATACAAATGTGAAATCTACATTACAAAATTATTGTTGGGAAATCCTCTAGAAAAACAAGCCAATGCGCAATTTATTTCACAGAAACTTGACAAGTAATATGATAGAGAAGAGAACCACTTATGAAGAATGAAAAGCAAAGGATAAAAAGCAAAAACTAGAAGCTCTACCTTATTCAATCACCCTAAACCTAAAAAAAAGTTGGACTGCCTGCTTGGTCCTGTTTTGATCAATTTTTGGCTATCAAACGACTCACTTTCCAGATTCCATATGTAAAATGACAAGATTGTGTTAATAAGTCTTCTAAATATTAACATAATCATACAAATTGAAAAGAAAAACAACAAAAAATAGATATCCAGTAAACATCTAATGTTGGTAGATGAAAACTGCTACCACTCACTTTAGAAGATATAATTACTCGACTTGATGCACTTCAAGTAGACCTAGAAAATTTTGTCATGAAGAAGAGAGGGGATGCTGATTGTATCTTATTGTTGAAAAAAGGGTCTCATATCGTAAATACAAGATGGAGAGGGAAAATGCTTGATGTGAGTAACGGTTAAGTCAAAAAGAGAACTTAAGAGGTTTTTGCAGATACTTGAAGAAGGAACATAGTATCTCTTGTTTGTACAAAGAGAAATTTGTTTCCATTACTCAATATTTTCCTTTTCACTCAAGAAAAACTCAGTGTCTGGAGGGCCACGTGATGGATAATTATGCAATCCTTGAAGAGAAAAAGGCAGTTTATTGAATATATGAAAAGATTGACCAATTACTCCAATTCATATATAATTATGATGATATTGAACATGTTTTAACAAATATCAAAGAAATAAAGAATGCGTACTAAAATGTTAAGGACTTCGTGCATAAGACTGCATATGAAAACAGCCATATGTGATCAAAACCGAGGATTTGACAGTCATGATGATTCATTATTACCAATATACTTTAAGTTTGAGACATCAAAATTTCTCTTATTTTTATTGTTTCAAACAAAGCGTTCTTCGGTTCCCTCCTCCCTAGCACCACCAATACTGATAGCTCATGTCAAACATTTTACTTAAGCAATGCACTCATAAATCTTTCATGCACGACTCTAAATTACATTAAACAATTTTCCCTAATTTTGTCCCTGATTTGTGCTATTTCAAATGTCATTTTTTCATGGTAAAACCACACATCATCTCCGCAACATCAACTTTTTTAATATGTCATGTCCTAATAATTCAAAAATTTTAATGACAAAACATAGGTGACCTTGTAGCTATAATAACAACAACAACAACAAGCCACCAACGTCCCAACTATTTCAAGTTAGTCACATGGATCATCTCCCATCATTCAGTGGCAACATCTGTAGTCCCAACATTAGCTAACCTATTAACCGTTTTATAGAATATATAATAGACTTGTAAAAGTTGACTTTAACGCACCAATTAGGGGTTCTCCTAATCAAAATTTGGAATCTCTACTCTCTATCGGTCCAACCAAGTACCAGTATTAAACATATAGCTAAATACTGCTGCAGTACAATCTTTTTTTTTTTTTCTTTTCAATCACACTGGGTAACAAGTTGGTATAGTACTCGATATATCTATACCATGACGGTCCAGTAAGTTACTGAAAGTAAAACCAAATTGAGATTTGGACTCTTGTTCTAATAAGGATTTGGTTTTAAATAACAGTACAATATATTGAATTTTGAGTGTTGATTAAGGGTTCGCTTACCATCAATTAGGATTTAGGCTCAGCATTATTAAATGAATGTAGAATCGTAAAACTCATTAAAAAAACTATGTATAAATCAGTTAGTTATTATTAGTCAAGATTGTATTTAGTGAATTTGAAAAGTAAGTTATAAAATGATTCTTAAAAACAAGCTTATCAATTTGTTTGATAAAACTACTTCATGAATTGAATGAAATAACTAAGCTACTAGTTAGTTCTAGAAAAATAATTTGGGAAGCAACTACTTTTTGGTGTTTTGTCTGTCATTTCCTTTTCCAATAGATTTCTTTAATTTGCCTATCTTCTGCCTAACACTAGTTCTTGCTAATAATCTACAGGATACTAGACCACCAGTTACAAAACAGTCTTAATGCCTCTGCCTCTCCCTTTTTAACCCTCGGCATTCAGTCCTGCAAACAATATCTTCTCAATCTTAGTCTTTTTGTTGATTATGACGTCCAAGATATTAAAAACATTTTCAAAGTTTCTTATAAATGTATATCAACTAGGCAACTACACCTTCAAATGTTCTCTATAAGCAGTTAAAGCTGCACTTGATTTGGTTCATAGCTCGAATTTAGATGAATCCTACCCTACTATCATCGTTAACGCGGCATCTGTTAAGACATCCTGGTGGCAAGCGCACTGTTGAGCAGTTGATTCGTTACGACAGAACATACAAACAAAATGAAGAGAAAGAGAATTTTCGAATCCTAGAGTGGATTCAGAGTTCAGAAACTCCATCTTTGGCAATGGTTCCATCGGACAAACAAGCGCCAGAACGCGCGCGTTTCTTGACCGCAAGAAAGGCGTGAGGGTTTTACCTCGCGACGGTGACCGCGGCGACCCGGCGAGGCTGGGTGACGGCGATCGCACCGGAACGGGTGTACCCCCGACGGTGCAAGATCTGGGAGAGCTGCGTGCTCTTCCCGGAGCCCGTCTCGCCGATGATCACAACCACCGGGTTCTCCGCCACGGTCTCCGCTATCTTGTCCTCGAATTGGAGGATGGGGAGGACCGCCATGGACGCGGAGAGACGGTTGAGGATGGGTCGGACGCGGGCAGAGTTAGGGTTGGGGGGTTTGCGTTTGTCTTATAGATTTGGCTCCACACAACCAACACATTTTTTTCTTTTAATCTATAAATATGTAAATGGGAACTCTTCGAACATCGACACCGACGTGATTGACTCTATCCATCGCCACGTATATGACATAATCCAATACCTATTGATATTATAATAATAATGATAGCGTACAAGATGTTTTATCTAGAAAAACCTTTAATATTATTTTTTTTAGCAAATAAATCCTCCTTAATCGATTTTTATTTAATGATGCTTATTTTTTTATCAGTTTGATAAAAATATTTTTGACTCTCCACCGGCTATTATCGATGTCATCGCCTTTGTTGTCAATGTCTCTAATCCCATTGAGAATAGTATTTCTCCTTTCCCTTCCTCTTTTCCTCTTCGAGCATCAATCGATTCCTCTCCGGGCACAAGCACGGATCGACACTATCTTCGTTATTAAGGACTTTCACCTTATCATCTCACCTTTGTCCTTCGTCGACACCTCTATCACCTTCGATCGAATAGGGAGAAGGAGGGAAGGAGAAAAGGAAAAGGAAAGATGCTAAATTATACATCCCTATTTTTAATTAAATAAAAATATATTATATATTTAATCATATTTTGATTATGACTATTGATCAGTAAAAAAAATTTAATTATTATATAATTCTTTAATAAATGATCATAATGAGAGAGACTAGGAAAGAGATGAGAAAGAAAGTGAAATAAAGGGTGAGGAGGGCGAAGAGACTAGGAAAGAGATGAGAAAGAAAGTGAAATAAAGGGTGAGGAGGACGAAGAGCTCAGAAAGGCCGATGATGATGATGGGATCATGGGAAAGATTCAAGGAGGCGATAGGGAGGTTGTTATGCTCCCTGGACGAGGAGCTCTTCGATCATGAGGAAAAGGAGAGCTCATCAATCGTGATTCCAACATTACCGCCACTCCTCCTCACGACCCTCATGGAGGGATCTTTTTGACTATGAGGAAGAGAGCGACGGAGGGCAACACGGGCAAGGATGAAGAAAGAATAGTATAGAGTAAGACTATGGCGGCATTAGAAGTCAGAGGGGACGGGGCGATGGCATCAGTGCTAAAAGGTGGAGAGGGGAGCCGAAGGTCACAAAAAGAGGAGGTAAGTTTGTTAGGAACGAGTCGACACTAAGAGAGGGGGTGAATTAGTGCAGCTGATAAAAACGTCGATTTGAAAATCTTCTATAAGATAAAAACTGATCTAAAAAATATATTTAACTTGAAAGTATATGGAAGCATAGTGAATGCAAGAATTCGGTTTGCAATATAAGGAAATAGCATGAAGGAAATGCAAACCAGGATTTATAGTGGTTCGGTCATTGTAACCTACATCCATTTCACTGATTCCTCTTCCGTCGAGGTTACCGGCATCCACTAACGATCTTCCTTCAATGGACAAAGATCAACTACCCTTATAATTCGATTCTCCTTTTGACGGATTCAGGATAGAACCTTTACAACCCTCTACTCCTCTTTTAAACAAGACTAACAGTTAAGTTTTGAAAGGAGTTCACACAAAATTACAATTGCGTTTTCTTTTCTTTTTTGCTCTTAGTTGTGTGTATGTTAACCAGGGATGAGAGGGATATTTATAAGCCTCAAGTGGATTCAAACTTGGAGCATAAAAAGATCTCATCCCAGATTTCCTGGGTCCTGACGATACCACTGCCTACAGCACTAACGCTGGGTGGTACCACCGCATAGAAGATTATGTTTGGGCGATACCATTGCCTGACACTGCCACTGGGCGGTACCACCACCCTGACTGGCGATATCACCATATGACATTACCACTAGGTAATACCATCGCCCAATTTGGCGGTACCACCACTTGACACAATCTCAAAGACTGTGCCACGACGGTGCCATATGTTGGGTCACTGTTTGGGCCTTACGCTTGGCCCAACATAGCCCAAACTTTGGTCCAATTGACCCTTAATTGAGTTGGCCCAATTTCAACCCAATTATGTGCTAACTATAAAATTTAAGATATTTACTAAGTTCAATAAGTACGTAAGTCTAAGTTTCTTCCAGCAAGCTTCTGACGAGCTTCTTCGACAAGCTCTTGGGCTTCTCGATTAATTCCGATAGAACTTCCGACGAATGTCTAGACTTCCGACAAACTCTCAAACTCCCAACGAAATCTCGTTATTGGCTCTGGGACTTTATTTTACTTTATGCCTTGCTATCGTAGTTAATTTTGCACACTTAAAACATATTTCGATCTAGACAATATTATAAAGCTTAAATCAAAGTTATCTGGCATGTCATTGGTTTATCAACACTTCATTCGATTATTCGACGTGTCATCCTCTCTTGCGGCCTTTTGCCTAATCGGTCAGTTGACCTCCGCAACACCGATTTCATTGGCGTAATTTTTGCTCTTCTTGTCCCGAAGCCTTCTGTTGATACGTCAACCGATCCTTCGGCTCGACGTCTAATCTTCTATATTTTTCTCCGGTTCAACATGATTCTTCCTACTTTAATTGTCTCTCCCTGATCGAAGTTTCCTGCATCACTCAAAACGTAGATCAAATTATAAACACTATCAATTAGTTTCATCATCAAAATATGAGATTCAACAAAGTTAGCAAGGAGGGGTGGGAGAGATTGTGGCAAAGACTAAGGGGGCAAATGTCACTCGTGGTGAGAGTTGGGGATTGAGGCGATGGTAACGACGACGATAGAGATAACAACTATTGAGGGTGACGACGACAATGACTAGTGGAGTATCGAGGATATTTTTATATTAAAAATATATTACAAATAAAAATTAATTAAGGAGTATCATTCAAAATTACCACATTTTAAAAATAAGATTGAATTAGAATCACGGTGAAGCCGGGTGACCACCTATTTTTTAATCCGATTAAAATCTAATAAATTTCAAATTATAATATACCAAATGCCACCTTAGTTAAAGAGACCTTCGATCTCATTGTTTAGCTTTAAATCCAATAAAGCGAATTTAAATCTTAGAAATTCGCTTATATAAATGATCTTATAGTTAAAGAAGCAGAATTTAAATCTTATAAAAATGATCTATTTATTGGATGAATTGGTCATGTTATTCCATCGTTTTTGACCTGATTAAATAGTCATGTTATTCCATCGTTTTTGACCTGATTAAATAAAATACTTAAGCATATGAATTTTTTAAATTATATTTTAAAACTCAACATTTTATTACAATAGATTTTTTAAACTTTATCATTTTAATCTGTTGTTTTAATGGTCTTATTAGTTTTCTTAATAGAAATCCATAGACATTTACTCTTTGACTTAAATTATGCCCTATATATTTACTACAGAGTAGTTTGATTCACTCGAGACGAGCGATGCATTTCTACATGCTTAAGACCCCAAGAAGACTAATATCTAACCTTGAAGGTATGGGACAAGCAGAAACCTATCAACAGAGCTCTGACTTCAAGATGAAGTCAATGCAACACACAACTCTTCTTCCCACCTCTAGTTGAGCTCGCTCCCTCCCTTCCCCGATGCCGCCCTCGTCACGAGCCTAATCCCCCTCACCCAGAGCTCGGCCGCCGCCTCCCCTCCCTCGCACACGAAGTGCACCTCCCGCTTCCGGGTGGTCACCACCCTGAACAGCCCTGGCTCGCGGGCGTCGCCCCTCCCCTTGCTGTTCCTCACGAACGCCGGGCTCGCCCCCACCTCCGCCTCCCTGCACACCACGTTCCTCCGCCCCGAGCTGCCCCACCGCAGAACCCCCGCCGCCGCAACCATCCTCAACACCTTCCCGTGCGGCGGCCCTTTCCCGCGCCTTGTGTGCTTCTTCACGTGGTCGCCGCGCACGACCAGCACCCGCGCCAGCTCGTCCAGGATTACGCTCTCAGCTTCCTTGCCGAGCTTCGCGTTGCTCCTCGCCAGCGAGAGCGCCGTCTCGCCGCGGCGCGTCTCGACGTCGCACCTGGCGCCCTGGAGGATCAAGAGCTGGCATGCCTCCGCGTGGCCTTCGCGTGCGGCGAGCATCAGCGGTGTGTAGCCGTCTCCATCGAGGGCGTTCACGTCCCACCCCGTCTTCGTCAGGAGACGCAGCGCGGCCATGTCGCCCCGCCGAGCCGCGAAATGGAGAGCGTGGAACCCCCCGGCACTCCCCTTCTCGAGTGCGAGCTCGAGCATCGCCTGCTCGAACATATCATGGTTCTCGTTCAGCCTGAACAGATCAATGGCCGTCTCTCCTGCCTCGCTGCGGAGCCTCACGTTAGCGCCAGCGAAGACCAAGACGCGGAAGGCTTCCACGTGACCCTCTTTAGCCGCCACCATGACAGGGGAGTACCCATTCCCACGCCGTTGATCGATGTTGATGTCCGGTTGTGTCAGTAGCACTTGCAAGGACGCAACGTCTCCGTGCTGGGCTGCGAACATGATCGGGGAGAAGACCGATGGATCGCTCGATCTAGGAACCGTTCCCGAGCGAATCACATCGAGGACAGCATGTTGGAAGCCGACGCTCCAATTACTGGAAGCAGCAATTGCGGCAGCAGAGGCACCGGCCAAGCTCTTTCGACCGAGATCGGCGTCGCTCGACGCAAGAATTCTGAGGCAGTCACCGCGCTTGTAGCGTGCGCATAGCATCAGCGCCGTCTCACCGGCGTCGGTTGTCGAGCTCAAGTCGCACCTCTTATCGACCAAGACTTGCATAACGGAAGCCAGGCCGAGCCGCGCGGCCATGTGGATCGGCCGGAACTCGGTCTTCCGGCCGGCCCTGACCGGGAGCTCCCAGTCGGCGCCGCAGGACAAGAGGGTGTCGACCGCTCGAGGATTGCCGCAGAGGATGGCGTGGTGGAGGAGGGTCCGGCCATGATGTGGAGCATTAGGGGAGTGGTGCTGCAGGAGCATGCGGAGTATGGTGCCGGTGGACTCGAAGTACTCGACGGCGCACCACGCGGGGGTGTAGGGCTCGGCGAGCCCGGCTCCGACGCGGAACTCCTCACCGGTGGCGGCGTCCCACGACCACGCACCGAGT